ATTATACGTAATGTCATAGTGATATACACATAGAAATGCCCTGTCGTGTTCCATTGAACTTATGATTGATCATTGCTGCATAGAATGACGCTTTCATAGAACAAAAATCGGGTAAATAGTTGTCCAAAAAAAAACGTTTCAAACCAATTTTAAAGGACTGTAAAGAGTGTAATTGATAAAACACTTGCATGTTTAGCCTGGTTGCAAAACTACTTGAACTAGGCCCAGAGATGACCAGTTTGCGGGGGTTCTGACTATTAAACCAGTATTAAACCAGCAGAACAATGTCAAATTCTTCCAAAATAACGGTAAATATCTGTGCAGTAATTCGTAAGAATAAAGGTCTTGAATGTGCTAAATGTTTCTTATCTTGGGCAGAACATGCTTACATGTGGATCTAATCTCCGTGCTTGATAAACTCACTGGCCTGTAAGAAACAAGCAAGTACAAGAAAGGTAGTCGTCTAGTTGTCTTTCTTGTACAATGTTTTACACAGAAATGGTACAATTGCAGGACGTGCTACAATTGTCCCATTTATCCAATCAGTAGAGGTGCGCCTGGAAAGTTGTCTCAATTTTTAGGACAATCTCGCTCTAGGAAAGGAAAAGTTTATTTCCGCTGCAGTCTTGTATTACAAATGTCCGTCCAAACAACGGGATTTGGGCCGCCTGTTCGCCTGTTTACACACACGCTCTGTTCTCGTGTAACGCGAGACTTATCAAATTAAACACGAGCTACGAAAACAAATTAACTCGCGAAACCAGGCCGAGGAAACAGAAAACAGAACAGTTGGTGTCTCTAACTCTACTTTCACTCTAGTATCTTCACAAATGTCTCCATTTTCTCCAGCTATTTTAGTATGAAAGCACCTTGCTCGTAAATTCCTTTGCTGTAAAATAAAGTTTATACTTGTGACCTAGTTTGAACTTGAACGTTGGAAGTACAGTATCGCAATTAGTCCTCTGTAGCCTGGATTCCAGACTGTTGTCAGGGCTATCCTGAGAGCCTAACTGCTTGCCCTGGGGAGCCGAGTAACAGTCTGGCACCCAGCCTACATCCATTGTGGCTTGCAGATATTCTATATGTATAGAATATAATTTGTTGCATGCAGAACTCTGTGTTCGGTGTACGTACCCTATTCGCATGAACTTACTAATAGGTTAGCCTGGGTTCCAGATCCATAGCACACTGGACACAAAATATCTCAGTGAGATACTTTGTGTCCAGTGTGCTGTGGGTCTGGAACCCAGGCTACTAATAGGTGCACTATTCTCGTAAAACTAAACCATACCTTCCCTTGATACCTTGGTACCACCAGGCCATGTAGCCAACTTTTATTGTGGAGGTAGAACTTTCTACCTCCATAGTTTTATATAGAGATCTGTTGCGTTTGTCTTGTGCATGTCGAACTATGCACACTGTGATTACGGTCCCGACATTGATGGTAGTAAACATGGTGTCTTTGAAGTTGGCCGCGCCTGGGTAATTATGTCATGTTGATGCCAGACGATATACACCAATTACAGGTAATGAACGTCTGACCTGCCAGACTCCAGAATCTAACGCTAGTTCTAATTAGTATCTTTCTGAAGCAACCCAAAGATTTGTATGTCAGCAAAAGTCGGTATTCTAACATGGAAAACCACGGACAATAATGCATTGTAATATAATCTGCAATACAGTACAAATTGGCAAGACAGTATTAAAAAAAAGATACCGTTACAGAAAAGAATTTAAAGCCCAATGAAAACGCTTAACACGTATAGAATAAGCCAAAACGTAAACCTCTGCTTTGGGAGTACTGCAAAATTTGTATAGTCATAATAGTGTGAGTACACGCTTCCAACTGACTTACTGAAGACTATGACTTATCAGTATTGTGTGCTATATACTAGTAACTACTAGAAACCCAATTATGGTTATAAATAGTACATAAAACAACAGCCTACCTCCCGTAACCTCCGCCAGTGCCTCGTATTCACGTTCTTATGACGTGCACCGTGACATACCCCACACACTTTACCGTAACGGTAGGGGACGAGTCAGTAACCTACACAGGGGACATGCCCCAGACACTTTACCGTAACGATAGGGGACGAGTCAGTAACCTACACAGGGGACATGCCCCACTCACTTTACCGTAACGGTGGGGACAAATCACTAACAAACCCAGAGGACATTCCCCAGAGACCTTACCGTAACGGTAGGGGACGAGTCAGTAATCAACCCAGGGTACATGCCCCAGAGACCAGGCAAGCAGAGACCTTACCGTAACGGTGGGGGCAATCCAGTAACCAACCCAGGGGACATGCCCAAAAGCCTTACCGTAACGGTAGGGGACGAGCCAGTAACCAAACCAGGGGGATTATCCAGTAACAATCACCAGTGGACTGCAATACCACAAATACCTGGCATACTTGGACGTCTGACGACCCATAGAACATGCATAGTCTGTCTATACACTCCATAATAAATATAACAGCTAGAGCGGCCTGTCAGTGACGTAAGATTTCCTATGCCTCCTCCCTGATGACTAATAAAGGTCCATCCCTGCCTAAGCCATTTGATACCTGAGCTATGTTAATGACTCTGACTGTTTCTGCTGAGATGCAGGCAGAACGTTAATTTCCAGACGACGATAAGGTCCGCTCCTCCGTGTTCTATAATTGAGTGAGGAAACCCGAGAGTTGATGGCTGGTGATACCAGGACGGTTCAGATAACAGGACAACGTTGTACTACCAACCTCAGTTTCCTATCCACGAATTCTGTTGTAAATAAAAGCTATTTGAACACCTACTATACGGCATCTGCAATGTCCAAACTGTAAAGGTCTAACTGCTCTACCAGGAATGCTTGCTTGTAGATGTGGAGCAATGTTGTACAAGAAAGTACTGTACTGTACCAATGAGTTTCCACGGATTCTACTGTTTGGAAAGATATTTGAACACCTATTACTACTAGCAACCTTACGGCCTAACCAATTTCCAAACCTCGTAAAAATGTAACTGCTCTACTGGTATACGTAAATGTGGGGCAATGTTGTACCAACTACCAACAAGGCAATGCTGTACTATACCAACCACGGTTTCCTATATCTACGAGTTCTACTGTTTGAAAAGCAATTTGAACACCTACCATCCACCTTACGGCCTACCCAATTTCCAAACCTCGTAAAAATGTAACTGCTCTACGAAGACTGCACACTCGTATATAAAATGTGGGGCAATGTTGTACATGTACTACCAACAAGAAAATGCTGTACTACCAATCGCGGCTTCCTATCCACGAGTTCTACTGTTTGAAAAGCTATTTGAACACCTACTAATACTATACGGCCTCTGCAATTTCCAAACCGTAAAAATGTAACTGCTCTACCAGGACAGCACACTCGTATACGTAAATGTGGGGCAATGTTATACATGTACTACCAACAAGGCAATGCTGCACTATACCAACCACGGTTTCTACTGTTTGAAAAGCTATTTGAACACATACTGTACACCTTACGGCCCTTCCAATTTCCAAACCTCGTAAAATGTAACTGCTCTACCAGGACTGCACACTCGTATATAAAATGTGGGGCAATGCTGTATATGTACTACCAGCACGGCAATGTTGCACCACTACCAATCGCAGCTTCCTATCCACGATCGCGAGTTCTACCGTTTGAAAAGCTATTTGAACGCCTACTATACGGCCTACCCAATTTCCAAACCTCGTAAAACGTAACTGCTCTACCAGGACTGTACACTTGTAGATGTCTCTGCTTTTACCATCACCAAGCGAAGAGAAGTCAATATTCATGATGCATATTACTCATCCTAGAGTCATTGCCGTGGACACTGAAATAGTGGTGATGTGGGGCTATAGAGAATAATGCTTAGCATCTAGTCTCACATTGTTTCTCGAAAAGAAACGACTGTTTTGAGTCTCTGATCCATAATCAAACGGTTGTGAAATGGTAGGGCAGACGGTACTAAATTATGTCTGTCGAAGTACGTGAGTGTTGAACATCTAGAGCAGGCAGAAATACGGAGATGGGGGGAGGGAGTATGTTATTTCAAATCTCCTTGCCAAATATTTCCATCTCTCTAGATACAGGCTCCTAGTCCTCAAAGAAGCGACTATTTTGAGTCTCAGATCTATACTAGTAATCAGACAGCGAATGGTGTCAGAGCAGACGGTACTAAATTATGTCTGTCGAAGTGGGTGTTGAACATCTATAGCAGGCAGAGATATGGAAGGAGGAAGTATGTAATTTCAAATCTCTTTGCCAAACATTTCCTTGATATAGGCTCCTAGTCATCAAACGACTGTTTTGAGCCTTAGATCCATAGATCTACTAGTATTCAGACAGTGAATGGTTGAGCAGACAGACGATACTAATGTACTAATGTTGACCATCTAGAGCAGGCAGAAATACGGAGAAGGGGAAGGGAGTATGTAATTTGAAATCTCCTTGCCAAATATTTCCACCTCTCTACATACAAGATCCTAGTCCTCAAACAAACGACTTTTTTGAGTCTCAAATCTATACGAGTAAAAAATTATCAGACATTGAATGGCTGAGCAGACGGTACTAAATTGTCTGTCGAAGTGGGTGTTGACCATCTAGAGCAGGCAGAAATGGGGGAGGGGAGATGTAATTTCAAATCTCCTTGCCAAATATTTCCATCTCTCTAGATACAGGATCCCAGTCTGTGGAGGCGGTTGTTGGCAATCGATCAAGTGCAGGCTCCCGGCCCGGTAGCCGCCATATCGCGCTCAGGTCAACCATTAACAACAATCTCATCAGTTACTGCAGCCAGGCGGAGGGGCCCAGGCCTTTCAACACGCACAATGCGATTTGTTAGCTGACATTTACCATGCTTACATCCACCCCTGACATTGTACACACACAACACTACATCAGAGCTGCTGTAGTGAAGTCTAACGCAAACATTGTCTTCTTCATCCACACAATACCGATGGCGTAACACATTTTCTCTCGTTCTTACAGTTCGATGAGGCGTTTTTGGAGACCAAGGAGCAGATGGAAGAGTTGAGAGCACGTAGGTTGAGTCTTATGTTGGCTTCTCAGTCATTCAACATGGCGAGGGCGATTGTTTAACGGTGGGACCTCGCCGTGACGGTTGGTTCAAAATTAGCCGCGCCACCGCTGCGCTTTTCAGCGGCTGCCGGCTGACCCCAGACCCCGGCTGTCACGGTGAGCCCGAAAACAACGCTACTTGCTCGGAGAGTGCTAGCAACACACACAGTTGTGAGGGCCAAAAAAACAACCGTCAAACCCTTTCCCAAACACACCATCACAGACACAAGCTGATCTATTTTCCTAAGATTGAGCTTAATCGAATTCTCTGAGCATTATTATAGACAGTATATAACGTTAGAATAGACCGTATGCTACGATACAATTAACCAACTCACCACCAATACTGCACGATCCTTTTACTAGTCACGACGACACAACAGCATTCAGGGGGCGGCCTTACCAAATATCCCACGACAAGATATCTGAGTCCTACACTGCAGTCTCCAGTGAAAAAACGAGATGTTTCCCCACAGAAATCGTAAACGTCTTGTCTGGTTGCACCGTTCTGCTGTGATATTCTATTCCGGCCCGGATGATGAAAAAAAAAGCTCCCTTTATTTGGCGACGAGCCCCGAGCGGTAGCACATTTGGAATGTATTAAACCACGCCACTCATGCTAGCTACAGTACCCCCACCGCGCTCTGACACGGTCCCTAGCTTCTCATGGGTTCATTACCTACCAGAAACGCTAGAGGGAAAATTCCTGACGCTTACCGTAATGTTTTTGTTCCCCCGTCGCTTGCTGATGCCGTCTACTCCTCTCTTCTCTTCCCTCCTCCAGGCGGGGACCTCCTCTTCAACCAGGTACCCCTGCTAGAAATAGACGGGATGAAGCTGGTTCAGACCGGGGCCATGATCAGGTACATCGCGCGCAAAGGATCCCTGTACGGCGCGGACGACAAGGAGTCTGCCAGGTGAGCGAGACGAATTAAAAATATCGTCTGCGAGCAAAACAATTTACCTCAGATTACACACTTACACCCCTGATAAGGAAGTGGGACCTTCCGTCAGGGTGTCCCTAGCCATGGGAAGGAACATAAACACATGAAATAAGGGGTGGTGATGAAATAAACTGGTTTCTGACGATATTAACGAAGACTTGACTTCCCCTCTGACCAGACATGTAATCGCCCATTTGTCTTATATGGAACGCAGCACTTCACCTCTAGAGGGGTGGTAACGTTTATAGCAAATTGCAGCAGCTTATCGCAGTATCGAACGTGATCCTTGACCCTTGCCGGCACTGGTAGAAATAAAATACCGCCAATAAATACTCCGCGGAACGATTGGAGACGTAACGGGGTGATTTTACCAAGGGAAAACCGAATTGATAACGGAAGAAAAATCAGTCACGGCCAGACGGTATCTCCTAAGAGAGAAGAGAAGGGGTTAGAAGGTGCCACACGACGTAAATCTAACGTTATCGTGCGTCACTGCGGCGTGAATATTTTCTTGAGGTGCGTCAGTGGTCCGAGATGCATATGGAGGCGTTGCCTAGCAACCACGCCATTCCCGTCGTTTGATTTGTGTCTGTGTCTCTCAAGCGGCGCTGGCGGCAGAAAATGGAAGAATTTCCAGCCAAATTGACTGGTCCAGATAATTAGAAAATTTCTCATCTAAGTAAAAAACATGATTTTCTCACCCGTTCTTCATTTTTCGCCAGGATACTTTTTGATCTCTCCGTTTATGAATTTGTATTATCTATCTTAGTCACCATTTATATTTCGGCCTAAAAATGTAGCCTCCATAGCATGCCAAAAACTGGGGATTTTGGTGGTCTTCGTGGTCTTTGGGAGCTTTTATGTGCTATTTTCTGATTGCATATAGACAACATAGCCGGCCTGGTTGAATTATCCCCGTTGGTAGAACTGGGCTAATCAGAAAACAGCCGAAGACCACCAAATCCCCAGTTCTATAAGCCTGCTACGGAGGCTACTAAAATGGAATGTAACTGGCCAGGGGAGTTAGCCGGCCATAGAGGGCCCTTGTAGGCATATTGGACGTTCTATGGCCAGCTAGGTCCCCTCAGTGGCCTTTTACATTTCTTTTTAGGCCAATTTCTACAATTTATTCAGGCTGCAAAGGAGCCTGGTGGAGGCTACATCTATCCAAGCAAGCACAACAAATCAAATATGGCAGATTCGTAACGTGTCAGCACCTTTTTTTAATAAGGCCGCATTACCGACTGTTGTCCAGCGGAACTCGGCGCATATTCAACATGTGAATACGCGGAATGTAATTTTCCAAAAGACCGGGTAGACCCTATCGTCGCCATATTCGTGGCGTAACCTAGCAACGGTCGCAGCAGCGAATTTTACAGCGATAGAATCCACCTGTTCGGACGATGTTTACTAGAAGGGGGTCCAGGTATTTTTACGGACGTCTTTTCATATCTGTATCTGTATAGGTATAGCCGATATAACCGCCCTTCGGGGTAACACACCAGCTTCGCAGGCACGCGGCGCGGCGGCAGCTGGCTACATTACACCGAACGACTTGTTACACCTAACCTTTGATCATCTAACTTTAAACACTGTTTGAAGGTTAAAGTTTTTCCGTCAATGCAGTAGTTTTATCAAAAGTTCAAAATTCATTGTTTAAATATTAACCCAGCTTTTTGTGTTGACTTCATGGCTCCTATTGTAGCATTTGTGGCTATAATAGGATGCCTAGACCTGATTTTATTTGCATTTTCCCCCCTGTCGCTTTATATTTTTTCTGAAAAAATACGACACCCAACAAATTAAATTTGTGTGGACTGAAGTTAGTATACAGTATTCTGAACTATCCCCTAACGATTGGTGACTGTGAATCTGAACCCTTACTTATCGGTAGATTGTGATCCTTTCTGAGCTGCCGAAATTTTTCTTGAGTACCCGAAGAAACCTCGAGTCTTATCACGGATAAGGAAATCCCCCCATCTCGTCCGGGAAGGATGTTGTGCCTTAAAGAAAGATCAAGAAAACTCGCCTTGTGGTCTCCGCACTCCCTTAAGTGTAGCTTTAGGTTTTAGATAAAGTTGGTCGCGCGTATGCTACTAATTTTACAACTATAATAACTAAACAATATCTAAAATAGTATTTTAAACAATTAATTGAGTCAGGGCACTGAAACATGAGTGCATCGCTAAACTTCTAATATGATGAAAATAGAGTAAGTATTCGACACGTATTGCAACAATATAAAAGTTTGACTGCCCATACTATTGTTACATTTGTGCTATTGAAAGTATATACAAAGAAATATCAAGAAAACTGTTACTCAAAACGCGCCCAGCATAAATATTACATGCTATATTATATACAGTGTACAAATATACGCTTTATTGTAACGTAATGTTAGTTATTGAAATATTTAGTAAATATCTGTAATTTGCTCTATGTTGTATTGTATTGTAAAGGAGGACTCCAGAAATATTACTAGTATACTTATATACTTGTATATCAATAATGGAGATTCTAGATAAACAAGCAAATACTACACTAATGGCAGTAATGTACAGAGATACCATCTTTGTGCAATGATTAAAAGCATGATTACTACAGTAGGTTGAAGAATGTGTTACCACATGACCCGACACCGTGCTAAGCTCTGATCGTGATAAATCCCGTGGCCGGGGTGATGTGGAGAATGCGGCGGTATTAGGTCCATCTGGCGGGGCCGGTTCCCCTGTGTCAACAGCACGTGCGCACCGGAGACGTGGGGAAAGCAGACTTTAAAGTTTAAAGGCATCCAGGGCAGTTTTTAGGGTTTGGAAACCCGTTTTTTCAAAGCCAATATTCTAGCCATTTATCTGCATAGTGATTTTAAACCACACTGTTCCAATGTATATTGACCCTCATGGAGCCGGAGTGAAAATTCTCAAAATTCTGACAGAAAATGGTTACTGGAAGGGCCCTGGGCTGATTTTTAGGGTACCATCATCTAGAAAATAAAGGACTCATCTTAGGGCTTGTTTCTGCAGTTTTAAAAGCCCAAAGTATGAAATGCTGACTCAAATGTGCTAATGTGAAACACTATGTGTGAATATCACAAAGATTCCCTTATACAGAATGTTTCCAGTTTTGCTGCCCTGAAATCGCATTGGATGCCTGTACTTTTATATATATATATAGATAGGTAGACACCTTAAATACTGTATCCGTATCTGGAAAAAGGCGGTAAATGTCAATATCAGACAGATTTCCTCGTCCAGAATCCCCTGAACTTGCACTGGATACCAAAACAAGAACTCAGACAACATTTGGTCCTCATTCCGTGTGCTTTATACCAGGGTCAGTCCATCTTACCCGCGGGGGAGGGCAGGGTCGCCAGGTTTATGAGCCGTGTAATCGGATCAGAAATTGCGCCTTTTAAAAGTTCAAGTTCAAAGTGGATTTTGGCGGCAAGGCGTGAACTTGAAGAGGCGGCCCGCTGCGCCTGTGGTGGGGAGGTCACGCCCGGTCAAGGTCGATCCTCGTGGAAATGTGTTTCTATGCCAACTCCCATGGTTCTCTGAACCAAATATGGAACATTTGGTCGTCAAAATATGGAAATATGGCGATGGGAAGAACTAGTGAATGTTTTCACAGCTAGACAAATATAATTCAGGGCAGTCGAAGGTCATCGTATGCTACAGAAAGATTTGGATACTCTGGCATATCTTTAGATGAAACAACTCCCACAATAAAAAAAATAGGTAAATATCTAGAAGACAGTTTTTTTATTGATAAGAATACCGAAATTTATGATTAGCCCCATACTATATCAAAGACTTTTGCTGGCGCTTACTGTTTAGTAATTACTGTCTTTTTTTAAATTATATAGTACCTCAATTTTGTACTATGTTAAAAACGAACTTCAATACTTGTCAACGTTGCCATAGATTACACAGTGCACTATTATTGTCGTGCAATAAAGTTATTCTTTTTCTGCTTATGGGATGAATACATTTGAAGAGTTTATGAGGACTATAAAATGTGCACCCTTCCCAGTGACCCTGAATACCGTGAACAACTCATGTACATAGAGAGAAAAACTACAAAAGATCATATAGAAAGATATTGTTGCAAATGGAAATGGCATTGAAACACAGCAAGACGGAAATTCGAAGATTTGAAAAGATGGAAAAATTTTAGGTTTGGGGTACTGACAAGTACTAAAAGGGCCCAACACACTGATCGCGAACAATATTTCGGACCCGGTGTGCTTGGCTATAAAACAAGCCATCGACGAGAGAGCTAGAAGTTCTCAGAGAAAAAAAAATGTTAAGAAATGTTTCATAAGACTAGAAACACACGTACACTGCACACATCTGCATTACACGAGGCCCCACAAAAAGCGCCATATGCGTGCTCAACCTGACTCGTTACAAACCGCTCAAACCTCTATTTACAGTCTGTTTGGGCCTAATTTGCGGGATTGAAAAACGTTATTGTACGTGAGAGAATGGCCCGGAATTGGATGTAGATTGTGTTACTATGAGTCTTTCACGTGCAGGGCTACAGAGTTCATTAATTGGCGTTCATGTACAAAGACATGATGGACGACAGGCACTCACCGAAACTGGGCCGCCATGTTTCACACGACCTTCACTTCATAAAAGGTTTCAAGGACAAAAGTGCCGTGAAAAAAATGTCCAAGAACTTTTCATTTTCCTATTTATGGTACAGTTCAAAGGCTCAGTGCAATGTTCTCATCTTTTATCTCTTTTAATTGAAAAATAAATTTCAATAGAACACAAGCAAGCCTACTCTACAATTACTGAATGCTATTTAGTTATCCAATTCCAGTTCACTACACTCACAGACGGTTACATGCACAATTACAAAGAAGAGTTCTTCATCTAATTGTTTTACTGCAACTTGATATTTTTTTTCATTCTCACATGCAAATTAATTTGTGTGGATATGATACTAGTAGTTGCAAGCTTTGA